CTCCCATCGGGGTTGAGAGCGGAGCCCTGTCCGTGACGTCCGAGATGTTGGCGGGCAGGGATGTGGCCATCCACGGGCCAAGCAGGCAGGCCGTGCACCAGTTGGGGGCACAGCTGTGGCCAACGAGTCCTACGGTTGCGCCGCTCGTGCACGACGCCAACACCAGTAGCACCGCTGTGCGCGCTTCCGATGATGTTGGCTGGCCGTGCTCCCTTAGCCAGGGGACAGTTGCCCCGGCCAAAGCAGAGCGATGTCGCGAGAGCCTCCGACGATGAGGCATGACTTGGCACACTCCAGCAAAGGAGACGTCCGAAGCTACGACCCTTGTCAGGCTACGTCGAGGTAGGAGGTTGGGGAGTTGACCGGCAACCTCTCCACGTCGGAGTCATCAAGGTCCTCATCCGCCCATCGACGAGCCTTGGAACACCCCATCGAGCCATCCCTAGGGTGGAAGGAGGAGGCAAGGGGGGACAGAGAGGACGACAGCCTAGGCGTGAAGGGTGGATTTAGAAGACGCTGATCACCGACGATGGAGGAGGCCGCAGCGGCGAAGTTGGTAGCCGAGTTCGTCGTCACTACAAATGAGGTTGCAGTGCCGTGGTAGTCAAGCGGCGACCATGTATGGAGGATTCCCCAACATTGGTGGCAAATGAACCGCCCACCCGGAGCCCATCGGCACAGCCCCACCATCGCTTAAGGCCCACGGAGCTTGGTCGAAAATCGAGTGGCGATCGATGCGGGTCCCGCATCCGGGCTCATCAACGTGGCCCTAGATCTAGGCTCGCATGGCGTCACTAGCAAAGGATTCACCGTAGGGCGGCCATAGGAAGTAGGTGGTCGAGGCACCCGATGCGTTGCCAACACCGGCGAGGATGGCGCGCCACCCGCCCCTGAGGCGGCGGCCGAGCGCCCTCCTCATGAGCCAAGATCCGCGCTGAAGGCCCCGCTAAAGTGCGCCACAGTGGAGAGGTCCACCTCATTAGAAAGAAGGGAGAGGTGTCGACAAAAAGGCTCGATACCCACCGAGGGGTATCCCACGATGGTAGATTTGTCGAGAGGCGAAAGCGAGATCGGGAGCGAGATAGTAATACAAGCACTAAGACACAAGATTTAGATGTTCGGCCCGTCAAGATGACGTAATACCTACATCCCGTGTTTCGATGTATTGCATTGAGATGTATCGATCCGTGGAGATCTGGCCCACTAGGGGATCCTCGCCTCCTTATATACTCGGGAGGAGTAGGGTTACAAGGAAAGTAACCTATTTGGTACTATACAATATCTTACGGTGCACGCCGAGCAAAGACCGCAGACGCTTTGATCTTATGGGTTGGGCCACCTCGATGGTGCGACCCATGTCTTGTCTTAGGATATCGGGGGTCGCACTTCACAAATTAGTCCTCGAGCCCCGACAAAGAGGTGACGAGTCACGTAGTGCCGTGGTCGAAAAGTAGAAGACCAATGAAAGCAGCGTACCAATCCCCAAGCGTAGACTCAAGATGAGAAACGCACATTCACCACAAGGTGAAGTGTGCCCACTTAGTCCCCGAGCTTGTGGAAGATGAAGAATAAATCTTGTAGCATGGTCAAAGAAGTCTAAAAGCTTTTGCCGACGTCCGTCCGGCATGCGCGATTCAAGACCCCAGACGTCAGCGCCCAAGATCGCGACTCGATCCGAAAAGCATGGAGCAAATTTGATAGCACACCGATGGGACGAAGCAAGATCTCGACCACCAAGGAGCACCGAGGAGTCCCGGTGTCGCTAAGCGGCGTCCGAGCACCGAAGAGCGAGGAGTCCCCTGCCGTTGACGATGTCCGAGCACCAAGAGCGAGGGAGTCTCCGCGTCGCCGGGCGACGCCCGAGCACCAAGAGTCCCGGTATCGCTGGTGATGTCCGAGCACCGAGGAGGGAGGAGTCCCGGCGTCGCCGGCGATGTTCGAGCACCGAGGAGTCTCGGCGCCCCGGCGATGTTTGAGCACCGAAGAGCGAGGAGTCCCCGGCGTTGGTGGCGGCGTCCGAAAATACCGAGGAGCGAGGAGTCCCCAGCCGGTGGCGGCGTCCGAGAACCGAGGAGTCCCTGCCGTCGTAGCGATGTTCGAGCACCGAGGAGTAACCGCGAGGCCGCGACGACGTCAGGCGTGTGAAGTGTGCCCACTTAGTCCTCGAGCACGAAGAATCCGAGGGCCGAGGAGTAACCGCGAAGTGGGCGATGAAGCACGAAAGCGACGCAATAGCCTGGTCAATCGGTCGGCGATAAAGTGAGCATTGAGTAAAAACGACCGCCGAATATCCCGATCAATCGGTCGGCGACGAGTCCATGAACTAAGCGGTCCGGCCAGCTTGATCGGGTGGAGAAGCCCGAGCACTGTGTGGTCCGATCACCGGACGATGATCTCGCAATACAAATATGTAGAACATATAGTACATGATGTAAAAATATATGAACTCCGGAGAAAAAAAATAGCGTATGTAGCTCGACGATCGCTTGGAGCGAAGATATATTATATTTAATATAAACCGCCGACCGCTTAGTGTGTAGCCGAGTCTCGGCCCTAGCTAGCCCGTTAACTATAACGCAGGCGCGGAGCCCGTGCACATGTAGGAAGAACAAAGCGTCGCCACGGGAGCTACCGCCGACCACCCATAACGCAGAGGGCGACGCCGTGCACGGTAGGGAGGAGCCGGGGCAGGGCCATCTCTGGAGGCATCCGAGCATCAACATGACTGTCGGGGTTCGGAAAATCGCTTGGAGAGCAAATATGGAGAAAACAAATTTGAGAAACATTATGGCGATATACGGAGATCGGAGAATATTTAGAAGAATATTAAAGCGTGACTTAGCTTTAGACAGAAAGACTGGTCGACGACGTATGGAGTTATCTGGTCGGTGTTGACGACGAGCATTTGGCGGCCGGTGAGTTGATGGTGAAGGCGACCTCGGAGGTGGTTCCGAGATCGGATCTGCTGTCGCGGGGGCTGGTGTAGCCAGCGATGAATCATCATCGTGGACCGGCATGGATCTCCACGAGATTGATGACGATAACGCGATGTTGATTTGAGGTCCATCTGGCTCGCCATGGATCAAGCGCACACCCCTACCTGATGCGCCAACTGTCGACAAAAGATGCTCGGTAGTCCACCGAGGGATATTCCACGATGGTAGATTTGTCGTAGAGGTGAGCGAGATCAGGAGCGAGATGGTAATACAAGCACCAAGACACCAGATTTAGACAGGTTCGGCCGTCAGTATGACGTAATACCTACATCCTGTGTTCTGATGTATTGCATTGAGATGTATCGACCGTGGGAGATCTGTCCACTAGGGGACCCCCGCCTCTTATATACCGGAGGGGTAGTGTTACAAGCAAAGTAGCCTATTTGGTACTATACAATATCTTGCGGTGCACGCCGAGTAGCGCCGCACGCCTTTGATCTTGTGGGCTAGGCCACCTCGATGATGCGCCCATATCTTGTCTTGTGGATACTGGGGCCGCACTTCCATAGGAGGGGATAAGGAGAGGGCCGGCGACGGCGAACTCGGAGTCCGACGGTGTCGAAGTCGGGAGTGGGCGCCCGGCAGATCTCATGGATCAAGAAACACCAGCCATCGTTTCTCCTCCTCTGCTTGTGCAGCCGTCCTCGGCGTGTAAAGCACAGACCTCACCGTCATCTTTCTTGGACAGTACTTGTTGCTTGAGTGTGGTGGGAGACATGGAGGCCTCGGCGAGGATGCTGTCATGAGCGATCATGGCTTGTAGGCCTGGACGCAGCAGAGCCGGTGGACGAGGCAAGAGGGATGGGAGGGAGGGGGGGGAGGGGCGGGCCGGGCGCCATGGCAGGCGGCTGTCAAGGGAGTGGGTGGCGGCCGCTAGGGGGCACCGCCTTACCTAGGGTTCGGGAAGGGCCGAACGCCCACACTTCACGTCTTCACCCCAAATTTCACAGACATTGACAATAATACATTAACACTCCTCTCCAGATCCAAAGGAGCGCCATGCGTTAGTGTTTTTATGATTTTTACAGAGGTAAACTCAACACAAACAAAACTGCTCATATATGTACCCAAGTTTTGCGATCTTACAGAGGTGCAATAAAATGGAAGAACTGTACATACATGACCTTTGGTCTCAACTCTGAAATCACAGTGGGCATGCTTTAGCCTGCGAGTCTGTGACAGAAAGAAGCGATCAGCAAGGAAGGTTGAGTACCTTCCCCGAGTAAGGATGAAAACGAACGAAAATATCCCGAACCAACCGCATCGCTTTCTATATTTAATCCGATCGAATCCGTATTTTCTTATCCGACTTTACCGCTTTGCTTTCAAGATTTGAGATGTTTCAGATTTCAAATTAAAAAGTAGAAAACGGTTTACATTTTTCAATCCGCTTTCTACTTTTCTACTTTTAATTTGAAATATTCAATTCAAAATTCGGTTTAAACCGAATTTGGCCAATCGCATACAGTCATACAAATTTAATTAATTACAAGCTGCTCATCACCACCACGCACTGCTTCTTTTCTCATCGTGGCTAGTCGCCTCTCTTATAGACGACGCCAAATTTCATATCTCTTATTATGTATTTGGTCGCACTTGTTTAATGCTATGCACTTGAACTAGATCATGCACTTGTTAGTTTTGAACTTGTTATGTATTTGGTCGTGCACTTGTTTAATACTATGCACCGTGGGTTGGTATTTCGTATTGAATTTTCGATACCGACCGTGTTCGACATAATTCCGCTCAATTGTTTCTGCTTTCCAAATTTAGATATATCTAAGTTCGTTCGTGTTCGCTGTCGTCCCGCTTGTCCGCTTTAAACTTTCGCTTTTCGCTTTCAGATTTCAAATGTAAAAGTAGAAAATAGTTGAGGAGTTTTTTTTTATTTTGATCGAGTTCGACCGCTTTTCATCCTTACCCCGAGTCTATCGGTCTCACTCATGGGCATCCAATCCAATGCAAGCTTTCACAAACAAAGTGCTTCGGTTCACTGTCCGCTAGTTAGCTAAGCTGGAGCTCCATTTCCATGGTGAGGTAACAACAGTCGTGGTCCAACTGCCGGAGCTGCCCGTGGAGGTCTCTAATAGCTGACATGACCTCCCGCGTCCGCGGATGCGAGCGGTCGCCGGCCACAAACTCGCAAGCCACGCCATCCACCTCCAGCATGCTGCACCCGGGCACCTTGGCCACCTTCCTGTCCTCCATGTTCCGGCGGACCTTGAGCACCTCCTCCCACTTGCTCCACCCGGCGTACATGTTGGACAGCTGCACGTGCACCCCGCTGTGGTCCAGCCCCAGCTCCGCCAGCCACCGCACCACCTGCTCCCCGGCCTCCACGTCGCCGTGCGCCGCGCAAGCATTCAGCAGCGCGCCCAACACGTACGAATCAGGCCTCATCGGCATCGATCGCACGGCCTCCATGGCCTCCGCCAGCAGCCCAGCGCGGCCCAGGACGTCCACCAGGGACCCGTAGTGCTCCACGCCGGGCTCCATGCCGTGCACCGCCGCCATGCTGCGGAACACCTCCTTGGCGCGGTCGACGAGGCCCGCGCGCCGCAGGCGGTGAGCACGCAGATAAAGGTCACCTCGTTGGGGCGCACCCTTCAGCCTGCATCTGCCCGAACAGCCTGATCGCCTCCCCGCAGCGGCCGTGGTCCGAGAGCCCCGAGATCATGGCCGTGTAGGTGAACACGTCCCGCTGCCCCCGTGGGGCCGCTGCAAACACCTGTTTCGCCGTGTCCAGGCTCCCGCACTTGGCATACATGTCCACCAGCGCCGTCGCCACCACGCCGTCCATCGCTGCTGGACCATCACCGTGGGCGCCAACCAGCAAGGCGTGCACCCACCTGCCCTGGTCCAGCGCCCCGAGCGCCCCGCAGGCAGCCAGCACCCCGACCACCGCCGCCCTGTTGGGGCGGACGCCGGACCTGAGCATGTCCTCGAACAGCCGCACGGCGTCGGCGAAGCTGCCCGCGGCCACGTAGGCGCTCAGCATGGCGCTCCCCAGGCGACGTCGTTCCTGCGGGGCATTCCGTCGAACAGGGCGCGCGCCTCGTCCACCTGCCCGGCCTTGGCGCAGGCAGTGAGGAGTGACGTCCAGGAGCACACGTCGGCCGCACGGGAGGCGACGGCGTCTCCAAAGAGGCGGCGGGCGGAGGGCAGGACGCCGTGGGTGGCGTAGGCGTGGATGAGGCCGTTGGCGACGTAGGCGTGGGCGTCCCAGGCCAGGACGACGGCGAGGGCATGGAGAGAGGGGACGATGGCGTGGGCGCCGAAAGGGGAGTCCGGTCTCAGAGACGCTGGGGCTGACGAATCAGCGGCAGCTTTAAGGAGGAAGGAGAAGGTGTAGTTGTTCGGCCGGAAGTCGGGGAGGATGCGGCGGAGGCGCGGGAACAGGCGGAGGGCGCCGAGCGGGTGCGCCGGGAGCAGCGAGCGGAGGAGCTGGTTGGGAAGGAACCGGTCGGCGAGGAGGTGCGAGAAAGAGCTGAGCAGGTGCGCGTCCACCTGCCGGAGCTGAGCGGCGCTCAGCGACGGCCGGCACAGCAGCTGCAGCGCCGCCGTCGGCCATTGCATTGCGATTGCAGCCGGCCGAAATGGCGGCAGTGGCTGCCCATCTCCAGGCCCACCGGTATCTCGCTTAGTTGGGCTTTATATGGTCTGAGGTTGTGAGAAGGGCCGGTCCAACCTGGCCCACTCACACCAACCATCTAGCCCATCCCGCCTTCCAAGGCAAGCGAAGCGGCACGGCCAGAACCCAGAGTTGTTGGTGCCTTCGTGTTGGTGGTGGTGCGCGTCCCGTCGGGAGGAGGAAGAAGCCGCAGGCCAGCAGGCAGCAGCAGCCATCAGGTGGCGGGGATGGGTCGCAGCGGCGGGATGGGGAACCCGGTCAACGTGGGCATCGCAGTGCAGGCAGACTGGGAGAACCGCGAGTTCATCTCCAACATATCCCTCAACGTCCGACGCCTCTTCGACTTCCTCCTCAGATTCGGTCAGCTCCTCTTCCATTTCCCCCCGGGCTACCCTCTCACGATCTGCATCTCCCACCTGGATTTGCTCGGATCTGCTGCCGCTGCCTTCTCATTTCATTCAGCGCGGTGCTTAATTGTCCTTGCCGGTCGCAGATTGCACGCCACGCCGGGGCGAGGAGGGATTTGCCCTGCCCTGCCCGAGCTTATGTCTAGTACGAAGTACAGTAAAATTCTCGCGGCGTTTGATGTCAGCTAATTGCTCAAACAATTCATGTGATTGGGTGCTTTAACTTGTCCTTGGGGAACAATCAATGTGCCGGTGACGTTTGATGTCAGATAATTTGGTGTAGTAGCACACCCTAACAGCCGTCTGATCTGTACGACATTTTCTGCCCGCTCGTTGGAAAAACCTTGTGGACTCATTCGGAGCTAGAAACTTAACTATCTTCAGACCTTTCACAAGCCCATCGCTACTTACCAGCCTCATGCTCGTTGTCAATTAGGTTCAGGTTTTACATGAAGTAGCTGTAACTTGCGGTAACTAAGTACTGCCGGGGTCAGTTTGCCTGTTACAGAATTTTCCGGCAGACTTCATTTCTTTTCCATCTGCAATCAGGAATTAGTCGAATCTAACACAACCTGACAGCTGCCACAGGCATCACCAACATGGGATTCAGATCTCAAAACCACTTGTTGAGACAAGGCTTTACAACGCCGCACTTAATTATACCATGAGTGTTTAAGTTGGAATGTTAACGTTTCAAGGATAAACTTATTAACTACCTGATGGTTAGGGCTGTCAAAAAAAAAACACCGCAAGGCTCACAAGCTACTTGAGGTCAGATCGATATAGTCTTGATTCGAGGTTTCATGGAGCTTCAGTGTTGTAATATTCAGCAGTGTGGTTAAGGCTCGATTTAGTCCTCTCTAATATACCCCACATGATTTCCTCTCAGATTTTCTGCAAGAGCTTTTTCTACAAGTTATTGTATTGAAGGGTAGTTTCTCAGTTTCCTGAGTCGAGCTGGAGCTAACTTGAGCTTAAGTTAAGTTTTATGGCATGATTTTCACTGAGAGAGTAGCACTCAAGGTTTGACAAGTCCAGCTTGAGCCTACTAGAGCTACGAGCTTTGACTAAGCCAAGCTCTAGCTCTTTAATCCACTTAGGCTTGGCTAGAGCCTGTACCAAGATCTAAGCTAGGCAGGCAGGTTCGCTCAAGCTTCGATTGTTGGCATCCCTTCTGATGATTGAGCTTCCTATGTCAATAAATGTTTTTCTGTGAGTTGCTATGGCCTAAGCAGGAATCCCTAATTCTTGTACAGTCGATATGGGGATGCAGCAAGAACTTTGGGAAACTTCAGATGAACAATAGATACGTTCTCTAAACAAGATTTGTGGTTTCAACTAGAAAGTAGCCCAAGATGGCTTCATGTTTGAAGTTTCTCTTACTTTTTTCCACCATGGTATGGTTTAACCTGAATTTCATTACTGAAAGCAATGAAATTACATGGTTTTTGTGATACGCAAGACAAACAGCACAAAAACAACACTAAAGCCATCTCTCCTAGACACCCAGGCTCCAGCAAGATAGGCAACCAAGTTTGTCTTACTTGAGCCAAGTCATTTATGGTAACACAATTGAATCTATATCACATCGAGTCGGCGGTCCAAAATTCCACATGTTAAGTATGACTTTCGACGTTGTATGGACTAGGGTGTAGACTGGTTTGTCTGGGTATTTTTCTTTGACTGCTCACTGCGGTGCATGTTTGTTTGCAGTTTAACTCACCATCTACTTGGATGAGATGAGGTGTAGGAGAAAAGAAAAATGATCATGAACCAGTTACTAATATTTCCAAAGTCTGTGTGCATGCAGAAGCTACGACAAAGAGCAAGCTGGCAACTTTGAACGAGAAGCTTGACATCCTAGAGCGGAAGCTGGAGGTGCTTGAAGTTCAAGTGAGCAGCGCGACGACCAACCCTTCTGTCTTCAACTAGAAAAGTCCAAGGACCGGCGTGCATAGCCTGCATCGTGGTGTGTGTATGTATGTATGTAGGTATGAATGTTGCGTGAACGTGTGCGGCTGTGTATCATCTTTCCAGATGTTGGAGTGGCATGTAAAGCACCACTACCGCTAGTATCATTGTTTGTACAATTGGAATGTTGCACAAGTAGACGGCAAGTTGCACGTTTGAGTTTCCGTGGAGGTAATTGATAAGAGTGTTTGCTGGACATGTTGTCATGTGTTTGTGCCCACGCTTTTAGAGCCAACTTTGTGACGCTTGTTGGCTCTTTGTACCCGGTAGGCAACGAATTCCTGTCTGTGCTATCGTATGGGATCATCAAATGAATTTCAGCGGACTGACTTGGTTTGATTTCTTGTATGTGCGCTTATGAGGACTTCTTATGATGAGGAATGGGGGTGGTGATATCAATTAATTTCTTGGATTGCTTAGCAAATGCGTATGTGATTTAGGTTAATTATAGTCCTTGAATCAAACATATTTTCAGCGGTTTATTATTGTGATATATGTGTGAGGTGTAAAGCAAACATACTTGTCAAGTAGTGAGTGCAGAATCGAAAAGATAAAATGGAGTTCGGGTAGGGAAGAAAAGCACGGGAGATGTGGCCCTGGTGTTGTATCCCCTTGCCACCACACAACTGGTGACTCCTGCCTGCTCTGCTGTTGCTGCCTCCTCTCTTCTCTTCTCTTCTTCTCCCCGTGGCCACACAGCCGGACGCGGACAGGGCTGCCTCCTGCAGGAGATCCTCCTCCTCCTCCTCCATGTCCAATTGTCCATGGGAGAGGGATGATCTAGCAAAGCATAGCTTACTGCTCGGATTCGATTCGTCCTTCTCTTCGTCGTTTCGTAAGTTGCCATCTCCATCTCCTCTACTAGCTAGTTTATATATACATAATAATACCCTTCCCTTGTATGCTTCATTCACTGGATTCTACAGTACTTCTTTCCTTTCCTATCTTTTCACTATCTGAATGAATTGTTGATGTATGGCATAATAATATGCTAATCGGAAGGAGGGGGAAAAAGAAAACGTTCTTTGGATTTGGGGGAAGGATGACAACAAGGAAGAATTTAAAAAGAGAAAAAAATCGGGGCATTCCGAGAATTGAACTCGGGACCTCTCGCACCCTAAGCGAGAATCATACCACTAGACCAAATGCCCTGTGCTGTCCTCATCGAAACATAGATTTTATTCATCTATCAACAAAACGATTTTAAAAACAAAGGTTGCTGCTGCTGCTCACTGCTCCTATTCAATTTGCAGAGCACGAGAGAGAGAGAGGAGGTGAAGAAAGGATCGGAGGCGAAGCCACCATATATTTCTTGCTTGTGATCGATGATGAACTCCCAGAACCTTCAGCTGCAGCTGCCCGTTCAGGATCTGAGCCTGAGAGGGAGATCATTCATCAGCAAGCCCACCAACAAGGTGATGGTGATGCACCACCAGTGCCCTGCAGCTGCAGCTTCGTCGTCTTCACCAGCTGCTAGAGGCCTTCAGGTTCCCCATCCCAGCAGGACGCGTCCTCGTGCCCTCGTTGCGGTCAGAGCGACCGGCAGTAGTGACGATGCATCATCAGGAGGTGAGTCGTCGTCAAGTAGTGGCGGGGAAGAAGAGGACGATGACGAGAAGCAAAACTACAGCAGCGACAAGGAGGGCAGCGGCGGTAGGTCGTCGTCGGGCGGCGGCGGCTTGTCCCGGGACGATCTGGAGCGCCTGGTCGGAACTGACGACGATGCCAAGTTCAATGGGTTGGATCTTGCAAACCTCATCAGGAAGAAGTACGGCAGGTCGTACGATGTAACATTGATAAAGAAGGTACATACATATATACGTACGTGATGCATATATGACTCAATTTATCTTTTGTGCTTCATCAGCTAGCTAGCATTATTCACATGATGATTATACGCCTGCCTGCCTGCCTGCAGGAGTTCATGGGAAGGAATCTGCTGGCCATGAATGTGATGTGGAAGTACAGGGAGCAAGTGAGTAGCCGCTTGGACATGCATGATATGCAATTCAGTCATGTATTTTTATATATCTGCTACCTAAATTGCTAATAATATATACACATATATTATGATCTATCAGAGATCGTTCCCGCTGAGCGAGGAGGAGTACCTGCTGCGTCTGGACGACGTGGCCAACACGCTCAAGTGCTGGGGAGCCGTGGCGCACGTGCGCAACACGCTGGAGAAGCTCAAGGAGAGGCCGCGCATCGGCAAGGCCGTCAGCATCTTCATCGACATGGACCAGACCGGAGGACGCTCCAACGAGTGGATCTACAAGTAGTACTAGTAGCTTAATTAGTAGCCAAAGAGATTATACAGGTCCCGTTCGCTTGAACTTATCAGCCGTACCGTTTCAGCATCAGCATCAGCCATTTTTTCAGCTAGCCGAACGGGGCCTATGGAGATTAATTCCACTCCATCGATCATGTATAAGCATAAGCATGCATGCAAGCTGAGGGACAGATGGATCGATCGATCGGAGATGAACAGAGCAATCCATAAGTGTAGAATGAATATAATGTTGGTACCATACCATACCAAATTGATCTCCAACAAGTCAGTCATACATGCATGTATAAGCAAATTGATGACAATTCATTAATTCCATACACAACTAGCTACTACTGTCTCATCAGTCGCCTGAAAAAAGGGCAAAGGTTCCGTTTCATCAGGCAGGGGTGACAACATTTGAGCTTCGGAAAGGGGCATTTTGCATTTCGTTGCTTTCTTTTGGACTTCGGAGCTTGTGGGCCGTCCGTCCGTCCGTGAGGAGAGGTCAGTCCAGTCCAGTGGGCTCGCGAGTTAAACCCTCCCGGAACTCTTCCCCCTCTTCTTCCCCTTCCCCTTCCCCTCCCCCGCGCCTCAGCTCGCCCACCATGGCCTCCGCCGCCCTCTGCCGGAGCCCCTCCCTGCTGAGCCGCCGCCACCTCCTCGTCCGCCTCCTCTCCACGCAGACCCAGCTCGCTACCCCACCGACGCCCACCACCCCCGCAGACCTCTCCCGCCTCAAGTCCTCCATCCGCGACGCCGCCACCAGCCCGGACGCGCTCGCCACCCTCTTCCTCTCGGGCCTCCCGCACCCGGCCTTCCTCGCCGACCGCCCGCTCTTCGCGCTCTCCGTGCACCGCCTCGCCTCCGCGGGCCGCCGCGACCTCGTCGCCTCCGTCCTCTCCTCCTCCCTCACCGCCCTCCCCAGCCCGCACCCGTCCGAGGGTTTCCTCCTCCGCCTCATCTCCCCTACTCCGCCGCCGGCATGCCCGACCACTCCCTCACCGTCTTCCGCCTCGTCAACCTGCCCTCCGACCGCGCCCCTCTCCGCGCTCCTCTCCGCCTACCACGACAACCGCCTCTACGACCGCGCCGTCCGGGCCTTCAAAACCCTCCCCGCCGACCTCGGCATCAAGCCGGGACTTGTCTCCCACAACGTCCTCCTCAAGGCCCTCGTCGCCAGCGCGGACGTCGCAGCCGCCCGCACCGCGTTCGACGAAATGCCTGACACGGCTGGCGTCCAGCCGGACATCATCTCCTGCAACGAGATCCTCAAGGGCTACCTCAACGCCGGCGACGATGCCGCCTTCGATCAGCTAGTTAAGGAGATCACTGGTCCCAAGAGGCGTCTCAAGCCCAATGTCGGGACCTACAACCTCCGGATGGCCCTGCTGTGCTCCAAAGGCAGGAGCTTTGAAGCTGAAGAGCTGCTGGATGCCATGGGGGCAAACGGCGTCCCGCCCAACCGCTCGAGCTTCAACACTGTCATCAAGGGGCTCTGCAACGAGGGGGAGGTGGGTGCTGCCATGGCTCTCTTCAAGAGGATGCCGGAGGTGCCCAGGCAGAACAGCAAAGGGGTCTCCCCCAACTTTGAGACCTACATCATGCTGCTCGAGGCCCTTGTCAACAAGAGTTTGTTTGATCCTGCCCTGGAGGTCTGCAAGGAGTGCCTGCGCAACAAGTGGGCGCCGCCGTTCCAAGCTGTCAAAGGTTTGGTTCAGGGTTTGCTCAAGAGCAGGAAGGCCAAGCACGCAAGGGAGGTTCTCATGGCCATGAGAAAGGCTGTCAAGGGTGACGCCAAACAGGAGTGGATCAAGGTTGAGGCTCAGTTCCCGATGTTGCTCGCTGACAAAAAAGCCTAACCACCAGGAACCATGTATGCAATAGCTGGACCTGGCCCACAGATCACCATTTTACAGCTGGCATCTGTTATTGCTCAAAATGGTTTGTTTTAGATGAGACTTGCATTATAAATTAATGGGATGGGTGACTGTTTATGGCCGTTGGTTTACCATCCAGTCATGTATGCTTAGTTATGACACAAAATGCTTCTCATCCAGGCATGCAGATTCGTTTTTTTTTTCAATTCATTTTATATTCTAAGTTCCATGAACTCAGAATGCATGTCACATGTTATCAAGATGAGGGCAAGGAGCAACTATTTCCTTGACATTTTGCAAAGAGAAAATAAGCTAATTCTTATGGTTAATCCTTCCTGTTGTATGCCTGACCAGATGTTGTTGTGTGGTTACATTTCACAACATAGATCTGCTGGCATTTTGTTTTGTGAAATGTTATTCCAAATTGTAGGTATATCAATTTTCATCATTTTAAGATGTCGCTCTGAAAGAAAACACTCATTTCAGGATGAACTCCCCTGGGTGCGTTTTTGGTGGATATTCATGTTTAGCGATGCTATGTTAGGTTTGTGCCATGCGTCACTGTTGCAGTTGGTTTCCCTTGTTTCCGATGTGATGTGTAGTTTTTTCTGCCAGTTTTGAAATGCTATATATTATGTAATTTTTTTTGCGAAATATATTATGTAATTTGATGTAACCTGTTTCACATTACTTGGCTGTGATGTTGTATTATGTTACCTTGATGAGCTGAATGAACTGGCTGCAGCCTATTCGGTTAGTGTTTGTGTTAGCTGTGTGAATTGTCAAACATTTGTGCTGCAAAATACTCCGTATTACTTTCGAGGACTGTTTTGTGAGTTTGTTTACTTTCCCTGTAGCGTCAGGCTAGCCATGCATTGCCATGTTTTCTGGGTGAATACCAAGCGAAACTTATAACTGTTGCTCAGGATAGCCTTTGTGGATAATATATTCAGTAGAATCTTTTCATCTTTTGTTGAATCAATCATCATGCCAGGATCCTGAAATAAGTAGGCATTGACAATTCATAATACGCAATTACATGAAGGATGAGCTTATTGCGCTTCTACAGTACTCTAAATATGCTACTCTGGGTGCCTGATTCGCTCGTTCCCCTTGTGCTGGATATTCATCGAGTATTTTTTTTTATGTTTCCAGCCTTTTGTTGTTGATGAAGCTGAGCTAGAGGATTAGAGCTTTGCCTTTGGGAACTCGGAGGTGTCAAAGCCTTTGCTAGCATTTGCCCGTCATTGTAGCTAGTTCAACTAGCATGCATGATGCTGAACAACTTCTGGAGTACATTTAAAGCTACTAAGTTGGAGGTGTCAAAGCCTTTGCTAGCATTTGCCCGTTATCTGGTGGTGATTGACGTTTGGCGACCTGATTGTATTGGAATCTTGCCAGATAGTATTATCTTTATTAATTTATTATAATACAACTAGTGAAGTGTATTTATGTTACACGAGTGGTCATAATCTATATGTATTGATTTTGATCACTGCCTATTCATATTCATATTTATATTTGAGAATGTTCAATCCATATTTTATTATTCACCGTAAAATATGAATATTATGTGAAATAGACTATCTAAGGTGGTGTTTGGATCTAGTGACTAAAATTTAGGAGGTGTAGCGGGAGAATGTTGTATGGGGTGTTCGGATACTAATAAAAAAACAAATTACATAATCCGTCAGTACTCAACGAGACGAATTTTTTAAGTCTAATTAATCCGTCATTAGAACATGTTTACTGTAGCACCACATTGTCAAATCATGAACTAATTAGGTTTAAAAGATTCGTCTCGTAAATTAGTCGTAAACTATGCAATCAGTTTCGTAATTAGTCTATATTTAATACTCCATGTATGTGTCCAACATTCGATGGGACAGTGACTAAAATTTAGGAACCAAACACCACCTAATTTGTATTTGATCTGGTTCCATGCTATAGTACCACTTCGAAATGCAGGAATTGTACCAGAATTTCATAGAAATCAATTCATTTTGACAGAAAAATATATATATATAAAACAGATTCCTACGTTCCAAAGAGGGTCATAGTTTTGGTGGTGTTCGCTGGTCTGACTGGTTCAGCCAGCCGGCTGGACACCCTCACAAGTTACTATTCATCAAACCAACCGAATAGTGTTTTTCTCTCACAACATACCAGCCGGAACAGTGTTTTCAGCCAAGTTTCACACCAGCGAACGGACCTTCGCAGAAAGAAAGAAAAAAGGTGCACAGAGGACTGGCTTCTTTCGTCACGATCACTCGATCAGAACATTTGATGCGCGACGTATACACTTTAGCGATTTTCTTTGAAACATGCTAGAAGTATAAACATTCATATATAAGAAACGCTCATCACTTTGAATACACGTATGTATACCCAATTCATAACACTATTTCTAAGAGATTAGGCCAGCAGATCTTGGAGAAATCACCACATGCCGCCTTGTCATTGACTAACGTATCCTCTACCACTTGAAAATAATCCACCAAAAATATAATTATAAATAAACACTCGTGTTAAGTCAAAGAGTTAGAATACCTGCATCCTCATGAGTTGGCCATGGGACAGTAATTGCTCCTAGAGAGTGGTCGCACATGTCGTAGGAGCAGCACACGAAGAACCGACCTTATGTGTGCATAATAATTATAAATAAGCACCCGTGTTAACTCAAAGAGTTACACTGCATTTTTTTAGAAGAAAAGAGTTACACTGCATTTTTTTAGAAACAAGAGTCATAGACCTCCGTGGAAAATTGGGGGGAAAATTGGGCATGGAAAGATAGCACGGCCCATACCCTTTTGCAAAATAGTGGTTGGGCATTATCAGCACCGCAGCCCCAGTCCAGTCCAGCGACAGTGATGTTTGTTTGTGCTGTCCTCCAGGGCGTCGGCGTCGGCGTCGGCGGCGGTGGCGCCGTTCCGGCGAGCGCCCTCCCCTCCGAATCCTACTCCTCCTCCTAGCTAGCGCTGTCTGCCCTGCCTCCCTCACTCCCTCCCACCCTCACTGGCGCCTCACCATGACCCATGTCGACCTTCCCTCCCCCACCCCCCGCCGCCGCTAGGAGCCCCCTCACCAGGGTGCGCCTCGACGACCTGGCCCCGTTCGACGGCGCCTCCACTCCGGCCTACGCGCGCGCAGTCCACGCCGTCGCCGCTTCCCTCACGCGCCACGGCGCCGCCGCCGTCGAGCTCCCTGCAGCGGACGCCGCTGTCGTCCGCTGCGCCCTCGAGTCCGCCCGTGGCTTCTTCCGCGTCCGCCCCGGCCTCTATGTCTACCGCGCCGGGAGGTACGCGCAGCCAATCTCAATACGATTCTGCTCATTCTGTTCTGTCACCTCACTTCACTGGATGGAGAGCTGCTGCTTTCCGGTTGCACCTATTACTTTGCGATTTTACTATAAAATTCTAGTAGTAGTAGTAGCAGCAGGACTTCTAGATGCTGTAATAAGTAGTATCACACTGCGCAATGTGGGAATGCTCCGGTGCCTTTAACTTGAATGGAGTTAGTATGCTGATAGCACACTGAGATGTGAGATGTCTGTTGGAACTGTGTGCTGTACCCTATATATTACTGCTAGAAGCATCATGCTTGTGAATCATCCGTAAAGAATTTCGGCAATGTCACTATCTGAAATGTGTTCACATGTTGTTGTGTGTGCTTCATATCCAACCAGCTTCCTGTATATAATTACACAAGGCATCCCAGTTGTACCCAACTATTGCTTACTGCATAGTACCTTCTGTGCACTTGTTATGGGATAGCTATATCTCTCAACAAAATCTCAGTTTTATGTGTAACATAGTTTTTTGTTTTCCAAACAAAATATGTTCACTTATTGATTCACCATATGCCCTTATCAATGCCATCTTCATCATTTTTTGGTTTGCATTTATCCTGTCTGCAATACCTTTGCTTTAATCTACTCTATAACAGGGCTCTGGATGATGGAGAGTTGTCACCTACTTGCATGGCTGATGCTTTCAGATGTTTGGGTAAGGCTGCCCGTGCTGCTCTCTGTGCAATAGCACGGAACCTTCGTTTACGTTCAGAGTAATGCACTTGCCCTTTCTTTTTAGTTTATTTTGTTTCTGTAACACCTTCTTGTTCACATTTCTTTTTTTCTACCAGCTAATCGTTCTTCTTTGATTTCCAGTGCTTTCAGCCATTTGCTTGATGACAACCCATTGCCTCTTGATGAGGTTTCAGCTTCAGAATTGATGGTGTCATTTTCTCATGGACACCCCCAAAGCAGCCAAGCACCTATGGTGGGCCTCAGGTCATCAATGGCTGAAGTTGATAGAGGTTTTGTTACACTGGTTGCTTCTGACCATCCAGGAATTGAGGTGTGAAGTTGCTCATCATGTAACTCTTTTGTAATCTTTATCCCGAATGGCGCAAATAACAAATTTTGTGCCTGGTTCTAGTATTACTTTTGGTGAAATGCACAACTGTTCTGTATCCTCCTCCTGTTTAGTCAGTTAGTGTTTTCTTCCCTGGTTTGTATTTGACTGACTTCGTCACTATGCCTTGTCACTAGTGCGTTTTCATCTTTTAATTCCTACTGTTTATCTTGTTTTGCAGGTTTGCAACCCAAATGGTCATTGGTACCCAGCAGATGCAGGCTCAAGCCCTGATGTCCTATTGCTTTTGACTGGAAGAGCCTTGAGTCATGTTACTGCTGGTCTACAGCTAAATTCTCAGTACAGGATCACTAATAATGGAAACAGGTGAGAGTTGTGGGCTGCTAGAAGGATTAAAGTTTTCCGCTGGCATATCATTTATTTTCTTTCTCCGTTATCTTCCAGGGCATCACTCATGTTTAGGCTGATGCCTCGTGCCAATGCTATATTGGACTGCTCTCCAATTTCAGCTGCTGGGCATTGCATACCGCAGATCCACCGGCCCATATCTGCAAGCCAGTTTATGGATGATTTGCGTGCTGAAGAGAATGTTTACCATCACTTGGAAGCACCACCTGTGAGTATACATCTAAAGTTGCATAAATTTCATCACATGCATGTGATCTTATTGTACATTCAGTTACAGTAATGCATGAGATGATGAGAGCCAGGACACCTCTTGACTCTCTTTAATAAGAGTAGTAAAGTGCTTTATTGAAAACTAGATGGGTGTTGTGTGTATTTCAGAGCTTATTTCATCAGAAGCCTTAAAACTCTGAAGTTGCTTATACTTTGCTAACTTGGGATGCAGGAATCACAGGGAAACTTTGTTAATGAACCATCGCTCAGAAGTGTACTATCAGACCCTTTGTCGTAAGCTCTTCCTTGTTGAATGTAACACTTCATCAATGCCATGCATATGGTTTCTGCTTTTCTGCAGGGATCCTTTTATGTGTGCTGTTATATGTTTCTTATCTTAACATAACAATTAAAGAAGAGAGACACCTTTAGACATGCTGGATCAAAAGAAACTTGCTGAAAGCATACAGCTGCAAAATCCATATTGTGACACATCATTTAATCACTTAGTGTCGGGGACCGATTACTGGGGTACCCAAAGAGGTGGAACTAATAACCATCAAACGCCGATGCTTCCGAACAGCAAGAACGCAACTACACTTCTTGCCCATACAATCAAGGTTGGTCAGCTGCCGCCTGCCCTCAAGGGTGGCTCACCTCCTTGAACCCCGAGGGCCGGACTCACCTCTCCTGACGTCCCGGTACTCGCTCCTTCGCCTGACGCCCGAGGGAGGCGGGCTCACGCCGCCCAGACGTCCCGAGGGACGACTCCGCCTCGACGATCGGGATCGCCGCCGCCTCGCCCGAGGGGTGAGGCCGGCTCCGCCGCGCGACGATCGCACCTCGCTCCTTCATAATGACGAGCACAGGATAAGGCGGACATTCGAGTCAACCGCAGATGCATGAGGACCATGCCTCCGACGCATGCGAGGAAAGGTACCGTCGAGATACTGACGGAACGATTTTAAGCCCTTCCGTGCATGACAGAGCCCAACAAAGTGTTGTAGGCGCCGACTTTTTGTCTTATAGTGTTGTGGGCACCGCCATCAGCCCTCGGACGCGGATCCTGACATAAGCATACGACAATCACTACAATCCAGAGAGAACTCGCATCATCTACAAGATGGCGACGTATAGTCACTTCCTCGTCTGCTCCCCGTAGGGTCACGGCTCGGCACCCTGACACGCCGCACCGTCCGCCGGAGTAGGATGGGACGTGACCACTTGCTGAAACAAAGCCAGAGCACGACCCTATCAGGATCAGCGAACGTGCTATCCCTGGCATAGTTTGTCATGTCAACAGGGCAGGCTCAAGGGAAAAGGAAGACCCGGCACCTTCGAAGGACCTTCTCTACCTTTGGTTTTTTCTCTTTCTTCCATCTGTAACCCCTGCTCCCCCTTGGTCTATAAAAGGGAGGGCAGGACATCCCACTAAGGGGACGGATCGATTCAACACACATCACACACACAACCAAGCAGCAACCGAGCTCTTGACATTCTTTCGACCATTCCATCAGAGACTTGGGACCTGTCCCTCTCTTGACCGTTTGTACCTCCTACTACGAACCTTTTTTGCTGCTAATAACATGAGCAGCAGTAAACTGGACGTAGGGACATTCTGCCCGAACCAGTATAAACCTTGTGCCTTTTAGTACACCATCCGATCATAACGCGCAACAAATATAAATTTACTAGTTGGTGTTTGTTCGAAACACCGACACTTAGCTTACAAATGATGAATATAGCCATCTAGTGACGGAATAATATTTTTATTTTCAGTGGGGCTTTTCTTGAAGATGCTATGGTTCTCTCATGTGGGCACTCGTTTGGTGGCCTCATGCTGAAGAAAGTTCTTGAAATGGTATATTCTGAGACTTTGTATTCCATTTTTATCATTTCTCAAAATTCGGTTTGTTTGTAAATCTGTGTGTGACATCAAGAATAAAGTTCTATGCTTTACTTTAGGTGTTGTTCTTTTAGGTACCATTGAAATTAACCGTTACCCCAAATCTTTGATTTGTCTGATTATGGTTTTATATAAGCCCATTCTGCTGTATCTGCAACTTAGTAGTTAGTAGGTCAATCCCTTATAAGCACCAAAAAAATGGTCTGGAATACAGTACAACTGAGTCATTACGATCAGAATTCAGAAGCCACATTTTCATAAGAAATTGATAATGAGTTAGTAATCCAGGAAGTATTTTGGTAGGAGCTAACATGCAACTGAGACTGCATACCATTTTTTAACTTTTTATCTAATCAGGCAAGGTGCAGCATTTGCAACGGAGAAGTTGATGAGGCCTCCTTGTTTCCTAACCTTGGTATGTCTCCATGCTTATTTTGTAACATCAATGTGGTATCAGTATCATTCCGTTTGCTCACTTACAGTTGTCAGTATTGAATGTTGTACAGCTCTAAGAGCGGTAGCTACAGTGGTGAAGATGGAAGACGATAGGAGGCTCTTTCATAACGCTGCTCTTCGAAAGCGCCGGAAAGAAGTGACTGAGCATATGGACGCCCAAAGGCGAAATGGAAGTAGCAAGGTGCATAATTCTTGGAGCATGCCTCCGTTGTATAAGTAATATTGTTGTATGGTTTTTGAGATAATTTTTGTCTTTGAGCATCTAACAGGACAGTATTGAGCTGGGGTTAGATGCTGAAAGCCCTAGAGCGTTCAAGGGGGTGCAGTACCCGTTTGTGGCGGGTGAGAGAGTCGTGATCATGGTACGTGGAAATGCATTCTTTGGCGACAGTTACTATCAAGAAATGGGGGTAATGGAGAACAATTTTCTGAGAGGTGGACTCTCTTCCTCTTTTACCGTGCGTGCAGGGAAATAAAAGGACGCCTGATAAATTCGTTGGGAAGGAGGCGGTGGTGACATCACAGTGCCTGAATGGCTGGTAAGCGATCGCTGCTGGTTCACTCGTTCAGCATTTTTTTTTTTTTTTGGCTTGGGTTAGAAGTTTTGCTTAGTGGCAGAAGCCGTCCGGGGACCTGCAGGTACCTTGTGAAGGCAGTTGATAGCGGAGAAAGCATACGGCTGCAGTACAGGTCGCTGAGGAAAGCGGGGGAGCTAAAGGTGCAAGCACTCCTGCAGAGTAGACAATGAAGGAGCCTGCCCGGCCCGGCGCGGCCGATGATTTTGCAGCAGCGTTGCTTGTGCATACATGGGATTTTCGTGTCTTTTGCCCCCCTTCTCTCTTATTGTCTTGTCTAGCACATTAGGGGACGGAGTACTATTCTCTTGTGTCCTGCTGTGCGATGCAAAGGAAAAGGATGCCCATTAGGGGAGTACTATTCTCTATTCTCTTGTGTCCTGTGCGTTGGAAAGGAAAAGGATGCAGAGTGATCTTGTACAAATTTCCATTTGAATTTGCAACCAAGTCTGACCATGGCCATCCACGATTGTGGTTGTAGGAAGCTGATGGTGTCGTGTTTTATGACCGTGTCTTTGTGCCTCTTCCCCAAGTCTTGGTTGAAGCTGCTTATAAATCGACTACCCTGATTAGTAAATAATAATACACAGTGTCTCCCTCTCCCGTGCAGTTTTAAGCACAGCAAGAGAAGTCCGAGTTTCTTCACACTTGACACACACACATACACATGGCACCACTGATGAGCCTTGGTGCCGCCGCGTACTCCTTGGCCACGCCAATCGTGCTGCCGCGCCCCCGAAGAGGAAGACGTGTCCTAACGTTTCGCGCCACCGCGTCCTCTGGTGCAGGTGCAGTGCTTGACCGCCGGCGCCGGCCGCAGAACGTGGCCGGCGACTTCTTCGTCGGTGAGCAGAGCTCTCTATGTAGCTGCTCCCCTCCAACAACAACACAAGAGCTTTGCCTTTGCCTGACTGACGCGCGCTCTTTGCCTTGCGTTTTCGCAGACCAGCGCTGCATCGACTGCCAGACCTGCCGATGGATGGCGCCAGTACGCAGGCAGCTTTCTCCCATCCTTCACCTTCAATCGCTCGCTTGGCTAACCATCATTCATGGCGTGAGGCGTGCCGGCATGTATGCAGGAGGTGTTCAAGAGGGTGGATGGCAAGGCCGCCGTAGCGACACAGCCCAGTACCGAGGAGGAGAGGACCAAGGCCCTGCAGGGGTGTGTGTGTCTCTCTCTCTCGTTCTCTGCTCTTCCCATCCAACTCTCAAGGCTTGGTGTTGGTTATAACACACACTTATATGTTATATATATGGATTGCAGCTGCAACACCACTTTTTTTTTTTTGTGATGTCCAGGCACTGCTCTCCTGTCCAACATCCTCAATTCACAGAGAAACCTCCAAAAGACATCCTCCAAGTGCAAAACATGTTTCCTCTACCAATCGACGACAAACTACTCCCAGTATGCATGTTTTTCACAGTTTCCTTTTTCTTATTGCATGGTGCAAATCCTCATCTTTTTGTCTAATACAAGTATTAAGAATATAAGATGTAGTTAGAGTACAGCTATTTGCTAATGTTTATGAAATCTTCAGTCTGGTATACTATGCAATCACGTCACCAATATGTAATGTTCAGGGCGTTCATCTCTGCGGATACAATTCTTTTTTTTTTCCGAAAGCGTGCAATGGAACGTGCTTCATTAAGAGGAGTGGGAACAAAGTACAGCCAGTGCTACCCACGGCGATGTGCCATAGTTAGCGGACCGGAGGAACACTTACACAGATCATCGGCTTCAACGGTGGTGCTAAGAGAGGTGTACTAACTGAGGAAACTAATTGCACGACAAGAGAAGGGGAAGCCGCGACCACCAAGTAGCAAGAGCAGTCAGCGACGCAAGGCAGCGGAAGCCCCGCAGCGATCCAGGCGTCAGCTTCCTCCAGAATGAGCGCGTCCAGCTGAGACGGCGTCTTCGTGATACTCTCAAAAGTACGTCGATTCCGCTCCTTCCAGACCATCCAGGTCCAGGAAACAAGCAGCACCAACGAGTCGAAGCTGCGCCTGAAGTGCTTTGGGATGGACGATACAATTCTCAAGACTCATTTGGGGCAACATCGTACCTGGTAATTCGCCCACAAGGAAACATACTGATTGACAGGTACTACATGGGTCTCCAGCCAATAGCTAGGAATCCAAATTATATACTAGATTCCCAATCGTAAGACTGATGCTACTATATCTGTTAGTTGATCTCCACCAATAGGCCCAGGCCCTTGTCTCTGCTTCCTGATCGGGGGAGCCCAACCCTAATATGGTTGGTGGGCCCCTGTCGCACCGCACATATAAAAGAGAGGTGGAGATCATGGCTCACGCTACGAGGTTCAACGGAGCCGCCGTACCCACCTACACAGAAAACCTAAACTGATCTAAAGCAGTGCTGCCAGCGACGGGAAGCTCCACCACACCGCCGCCGCCTCTGCAGGGTCACCACCGGGCCACTGGACATCGTCTCCACCACTATGCCGGAACTGCCATGACATCGGCATCCGTGGACCGAATGGTGGAGAAATACCTACCCCGAATCTACGGTTACACAGAGGTAATCTACGATCTAACAATGGTACCAGAGCCAGGTTGCCAGTGTGTAACCCTAACCCTAACTAGGTAAAAGCAAAGAGAAAAGGGACCGGGGGTGGCGGACGTCACTGGAACCCCGGTCACCACCGCCACCGCGCGGGGAAAAGATGCCGCACCGCCGTTCTCACCGGCGCATGGCAAGAACAGAACAGATCTAGTTCGGATCTGAGGAAAGGAGTAAAAGGAAAGAAGAACAGTGGTTCCCCAACCCTAACCCTAACTGGGTGAAGGGGAAGAACAATAGTGAACCCGATTCGGATGAACTAACCCATCCTCATCCCAATCGGAATCAAAACCGTGAAAAGAAATCAAAAGAAAAGGTTCAACCGAACCCTAACCCTAACTCACATGAAGAAGGGGAAGGGAAGCGATTCGGATGAACTCCAAAAAGAAAAGACATCAAAAGAAAAGTGCAAATCCCGAAACCCTAACCCTAGTACCCCAATCGGTTGAATCCGTAGAAAGAGAAACAAGATCCAAAAGAAAAGAAGAGGGATTCGGCCTAGAAAAGAGTCAAAGCCGAACCCTAAACCCGCGCAGATCCTTTGGGGAAGAAGAACAGTGCAAATCTCCAAACCCTAATTCCCCACACCAGTTCGGAAAAGAGAAGAATAACTCAAATCCGAAGGGGAAGAAGAAAAGGAAGAAAGGGAAAAGACCTCGCCGTGCACCGAGCGAGCCCTTCGCCGACGCGGGAGAAGAGGGCCGAGGCGGGGGGAGATGTTTCAGCCAGGCTCGACCAACGGGGCGCCGCGGCCAGGCCGCTCGACTGCGGCGTGCTCACCTGCTGGGGAGCGCGCACACCGGCGAGGGGGCCGGCGACGGCGCCATGGCTCTGCCATCCTCGCTCATTGCTTGTTTTGCCAGGCCGCCGCTGCTCGGCCAGTGTGAGGAGAGAGGAGAGAGAGCGAAGAGAGAGAGAGAACAGGAAGCGAATGAGGCCGCTAGGGTTTTGGGAGACAGGCCGGCCGCGGGTGGGGCTTTTGTTCTCCCTATCCGCGCGCGCCACCGTCCAATCGGAACAGACGACCGAGATTGAATGGGGCCAATGATGCGGCCAGTGGCGCAAGCGTGGCCGAAGTGAAGCTTTGTTGGCCCAGTGCCTGTGTTGGGCACAAGGTGCGCGACCGCCAAGATCAAGGGAGATGGGCTCAATTCTTTTTGCCGGTCAATGAATGTACAAAGATCAATTGAAGCGAGTTCTGTTTTCTTTTTCAAAGAAATGTTTATTTCATGGAAATTGATTAATGGCTTAAAGAAAATAGAAAGAAAATAGAAAAAAGTAAATTTTCCCAAGGGTAAAATTCAAGAAATTCAATTATTTTTCCGCCGCTAAAGAGAAATTGTTTATTCTCCTAAGCAATTTGTACCAACGTGATATTTAATTGGAGAAAAAGAGATTTTGACATGATTTGTTAATTCTCCAGTTAATTTGTACCAACGTGATATTTAATTGGAGAAAAAGAAAGTTATTCCGCTGCTAAAGAAATTGTTGATTCTCCAGTTATTTTGAACTAATGTGGTATTTAATTGGAGAAAAATAGATTTTGACATGATTATGATGTTGTTATTTTCTGACCAACGTTGTTAATAACAATATCGTAATTTTAATGATTTATGCATTAATTCTATTTCTGTCCAACGGTGATGTAGAATTAGTGTATAAGAACAGTTGTAAATTTTAATGATTTATGCATTAAATCTACTTCTGTCCAACGGTGATGTAGAATTAGTGTGTAAGAACAGTTGTGAATTTTAATGATTTTATACATTAATTCTATTTCTGCCCAACGGTAATGTAGAATTAGTGTATAAGAATAATTGTATGTTTTGATTGTGACCAACGTTGGAATCAAGACATGCAAATGGTGTTATTTTTATGTTAAGAAAAGGTTTGACCTAGTTTTCATCTTGACTGAGGTGGACTGGGTAGTCACCTCACCGTGTTTCACTGAGTGTGTGGTATCGGTGAGGGAGACAAATGAGCATGATGCCACTTGGGCAACTAAAGAGAGGGATTTTGAATCCCAAAAGATATCATATGCCCTTGTGCATAGGAAGTGGGTCACTGCCAACAAAAAATGTTTGGCTACGATAAAGAACCGATTAAGCCTGCAATTGTGGGCTCAATCCCAGAGTGTGACACGGTCACCGAGTACCTCGATAGAATAAAGAGTCAGTTCACGGGCTTTTCAAAGACATATGCTACCTAGCTGATAAAGCAACTGGTCACAGAGTGTTAATTTGGAAGTGGTGGCATAAGAGAGCTCACGATACGTCGTCGAAATTATGGCACTGTCGTTTATGCCATATTTCGAGGGGGGAATAGAAAGACAAGTTAAGAATGGTATTCTTCCTCCATTAGAGCTCTCAGATTTAGAACACTACAGAGAGTGCATAAAAGAAAAGTATGTAAAGAAAATAAAGAAAGATGCCAAATGAAGCGTAGAAATTTTACAGATTATTCACACAGACATCTGTGATCAGTTTCCTATAAAGAGTGTGGATGGTAATGATTCGTTCATAACATTCACAGATGATTACTCCCGTTATGTCTATATTTATCCAATCAAAGAAAGAACAGAAGCATTGGATAAATGTAGATATTTAAAACAAAAGTTGAAATCCAACGCAATTTAAAGATAAAGATAGTCAGGTCTGACCGTGGGGGAGTACTACGGTCGGCATACCCTATATGCCAAGTTCCTGGACCTTATGCAAGGTTCTTATAGGAGTGGCAATAGTAGCTCAGTATTCTATATCGGGCGAACCTCAGCAGAATAGAGTAGCTGAAAGACGCAATCGTACAATGAATAGATATAGTGGGCAGTATGATAAGTTACTCCACCTCACTGTTGAGTCTGTGGATGGAGGCGTTAAAAACCACCATTCATATTCTCAAAAGAGTACTAAGTAAGTCGGTGCCCAAAACACCGTATGAGTTGTGGACAGAAAAAGTACCCTCACTAAACACTTACGTGTGTGGGGGAGCCCTACTGAGGCTAAAGAATTTAACCCAAATATTGGGAAGCTAGATCCCAAAACAGAGAGTTGACATTTCATTGGCTACCCAGAAAAATTAAAAGGTTTTTGTTTCTACTGTCTAGAGAGACATACAAAGTTTATAGAAACGAGACACGATGTCTTCCTAGAGGATGAACTGATGAGGGGGAGCATAGTAGCTCGAGAAATTGACCTTAAAGAGAAGCGGGTGTATGCGCCCACTCCAATAATTCATGGGCCAATTTTCTCACTACCTGTTGTTGCTGCACCGACAGTGCAAGATATTGTGGTGTCAGCACCTGTTGTTATTCCGCCTGTGGCAACAATGAATGACCATAAGGAACCTATTCTTCAGGATCATATAGAACCTATTACCACACATGAGGGGAAGCAACAACAGCCTCAAACAGAAGATGTGCCAAATATGGAGGTCCCTAAACGGTCTCAAAAAATTAGAAAATCAGCTATTCCTGCTGACAATGAAGTATACAACACTGAGGAATTTCAAATGGAGGATGATCCCACCTCATTTGAATAAACCATGAAAAATGATCATTCATCAAAGTGGCTTGAGGCCATGGAAGATGAAATGAAATCTATGAATGCCAATAAAGTTTGGGATTTGGAGATAATTCCTAAAGGAGCCAAAACAGTAGGCTGTAAATGGGTCTACAAAACAAAACTTGACTCTCAAGGGAATATAGAGAGATATAAAGCGCGACTTGTGGCAAAAGACTTTATACAAAGAGAAGGGATTGATTACAATGAGACATTTTCTCCAGTCTCATGTGAAGTTTCCTTCAGAATCATAATAGCATTAATGGCACATTACGATTTAGAGTTACATCAAATGGATGTAAAGACGGCATTTCTCAACGGAAACTTGGAGGAAAATGTTTACGTGGCACAACCGAAAGGTTTTGTCATGGAAGGAAAAGAACGAATGTGATGCCGCCTAAAGAAATCCATTTATGGATTAAAACAAGTTTCAAGACAGTGGTACTTGAAGTTTGATCAGACAATAAAAAATTTTGGGTTTTAAAGAGAATGTAGAGGATAATTGTGTCTATGCAAAGTTTAGAAATGGGAAGTTTATCTTCCTTGTCCTGTATATGGATTATATCTTACTTGCTAGTAGTGATGTCAGTCTACTACAGGAGACAAAGAAGTTTTGTCCTCAAAACTTGATATGAAAGATCTTGGTGAAGTCTCATTTGTTCTATGGATTGAGATTCACCGAGATAGAAGAAAATGAGTATTAGGACTGTCACAAAAGACATACATAGAAAGAATCTTAAAGAAATTCAGTATGCACAAATGTAGTCCCTCACCTGCTCCTATAGTCAAGGACGACAGATATGGGGATTTTCAATGCCCCATGAACCAATATGAGCTCAATCAAATGAAAGTGATTCCATATGCTTCAGCTGTCGGAAGCTTACAATATGCTCAAGTATGTATGCGCTCGACTTGGCATTTGTTACCGGGTTACTTGGCAGATTCCAGAGCAATACTAGAACAGAACATTGAAAATTGATAAAAAAAAGTCTTGCATTATTTGCAAGGAACGAAAGACCTCATGATGACGTATAGAAGATCTGATTCACTCCACATAGTGGGATATTCAGATTCTGATTATGCGAGAGATGATAGAAAATCCACGTCTGAATATGTATTCACTCTCGCAAAGGGGAGCTATTTCATGGAAAAGCTCAAAGCAAACCGTCACTACATCGTCCACAATGTATGACAGTTTGTAGCGTATTATGAGGCAACGGGGCAGGTGAACTGACTAAAGAAGTTCATACCCGGTTTGAAGGTGGTTGACGACATCTATAAACCACTTAAGTTATACTGCGATTATTATCTGGCAGTACAGTATGCTCACAACATAAGTCAAGTGGTGTTGCCAAACACATTGACATAGAGTATTATGTTGTGATAGATAAAGTCCGGGATCAAGTCATAAGTCTTGAGCATATAAGTACAGAAAAGATGCTCGCGGATCCGCTTACAAAAGGCTTACCACCCAACGTGTTCAGAGAATATGGTGTTCAGAGAACATATAGTTAGCATGGGTTTAAGGAAAAGCCTAAAATTTCTGGACAAAAGAAGGCCAAAAAATAAGTATATATTTCAATACAGAGTAGTGTGTTGTAGCTGTTAAGTCTATCGGCAATGGACCGTAACGATGAGACATACTCTATGCGCTAATCTGTAATGGAATGAACAAAAGTAAATGAAATTGAAAGATGGTAGTGAGATCAAGGGGGAGAATGATAGTTGATCTCCACCAATAGGCCCAACAGCCTATTAGGCCCTTGTCTCTGCTCCCTGATCGGGGGAGCCCAACCCTAATATGGTTGGTGGGCCCCTGTCGCACAACACATATAAAAGAGAGGTGAGGATCGTGGCTCACGCTACGAGGTTCAACGGAGCCGCCATACCCACCTACAGAGAAAACCTAAACCGATCTAAAGCAGTGCTGCCAGCGACGAAAAGCTCTACCACACCACCGCCGCCTCTGCAGGGTCACCATTGGGCCACTGGACATCGTCTCCACCACTATGCCGGAACTGCCATGACATCGGCGTTCGTGGACCGAATGGTGGAGAAACACCTACCCTGAATCTACGGTTACACAGAGGTAATCTACGATCCTAACATATCCATCAGTGAAAGTAATTCCATAATGTATAGCCCTTTCAATTTCCGATTGGTGATTATGCAATTCAGAAACAGAATTATGTGATTCAGATGCTTTAATATATATCTTTTATTTTCTTTTAGCCCAAGGTATACTCAAAAACTGGCGAACAATATTGAAAAGCTTGGTGGAGCGCGCTACATGTTTTTGACCCACATGTATGTTTGGACTTCACGATTGTGTTACTTCTTCATGTACTTGTCACCTTCTGTTAGAAATTAAAGAGATCTCACTAATGACCACCATACAGTGATGATGTGGCGGATCACAGGAAGTGGGCTGAGCGGCTAAAATGTGAAAGAATAATTCATTCAGAAGATGTAAGAATTGCATCTCTCGCTTATATCCTTCTATTTGACATGATAGAATGGCAAATTCCTGATAAATCTTAATTGCAAACCCCATGAACATTATTTATATCCTTTTTGAAACACTACAATCAGATATTGGTTAACAAGGCCTCATCCTGAAGAGTTACAAAAGCACACGCTGCCTACATAATATGCTTCTACCTTAACATTGCAGTTTAGGTACTACATGATAAGCTTGCTGTTTTGGCACTACTAAAGCATTTGGTATTCATATTCATATATCTTAACATTGCAGTTTGGGTACTACTAAAGCATTTGATATATCTTATTGAAGAACTGATTAGTGATGTAGATTATCCATAATGCTTCAAATGGAGGAAATTTCCAAAAGAAATAAACTTACAACATTGGAATAGTTAGCAAGCATTCATCTCATTGATATTGTAGGTTCCATTTATTCCTGCCACCCAGTGAACTCTGCTCTTTCGGACATGTCCTGATAGTCTTTGCGCCATAAGCATTCTGATGCAGGTGGCGGAGGCGTCTGCAGATGTTGAGTGGAAACTTGATGGAAATGGGCCATGGAACATCGGAACAGATTTTGAACTTATCCATACGCCAGGCCACCCCAGTAAGAAATTCAGCTTAATAGACTAATCCAGACACACAGTAACAATCAATTTTTAGCAACACGGATTTAGCACCTTGCACATTATCTTCAATGTGTCTAGTTTGATAATCAAGTCAAACATTTTTCTAGGGCTCGGTCTGCTTGTATTACAAATCGCTAAAGGTGCTGTTCACTGGAGACCATGTTGCAAAGTCAGAAGAATCAGATGATCTGGTTCTCTTTCTGATGTACAACAGGCAACCAGGTAGAAGCGTTGATCCCTCGTGCTAGTCTTCATATCTAACCAATGATACTGATGAATTATACCATTCGCTTGGAAATCTGATTATCATGCCTGTCTGTTGTACAATAAACTTGCAGTGAGCCTTCAGCTGGAAAGCATCAGGAAACTATTGGAGGTAGAATTCGAGTGGCTTTTACCTGGTACAGACTCCTTCAAATATATCCCTGAGATGGAATATAAGTAGAAAAAAATCAATTTGATTTCTAACCCATTTCTACTTCATACGTATTAGTTTTATCCATGTTATGCCGTTTATCCATTTGTTTTTTATATTAACTTGTGTGCTGGAATTGAGTTGTTCACAGGACATGGCTACCGAATCAAGTACAAAGATGTACAGGCCAAGAATGCAGCAATGGAGACCCTCATAGCTAACTACACAAGCTAGGGGCCTAGGAGCATCTTACTTCAGTCAGTGCTGACAAATAAGGATTCCAGGAGGCTGAATGTTGATGCTACTATTTCCAGATAATAGTGTTCATGATGCTCAGGTCTTGAATGAGCATTTGTTAGCAGAGAATGCAATGCTTTCGTATGTTTATAATACAGCTGCAGATTGTACCTAGTGCTGCACACCAAGCATATGTAACTTGGCCCACTGAATGTTTCTCAGCTTATTCCAGAAAATTTGCAAGATCCTAGGATTTGTTATAAGAAATTTTGCACACCAAGCATATGTTATAAGTTGATGTGTGTTTACCAAGATGATGTGTTTTACAAATACAACAAAGATGAACGCCCCTACTTCACATCACCTCATCAGTAGAGCTAGAAAAAAAAGAGAGAACAAATTGCAGACAAAACCTGCAATGGGGACTTAATTTCTGCGTATAATTGTGTATTCTTGATGATACCAGTGAAGAAAACTACTCTCTCCGTCAAGTTACAGGCTTATGGCTCTCAACACAGAATCCAACCTCAATAGTAATGAGAAACAAAAGTCCTCAAACAACATAATCCCCAAAACTCTCAGTTAAGGTACAAAACTGGACACCATTGGCCACAGAAATCCTCTCTTGGAGTATCAGGTGGTGGTACGCTGGCCTTCAGAAACATGTCCTCAATGCCAACTGTGGTGGGTTTGTGGGACCCTGATAAGACTTGGTAGTCCTCTGTGTTTGCTGCAACTGAGTCATCAATAGGGCTCTTGAGGTTCCAGTTCTATCATCACTGAAGCACAGTAACTGGATTCTTCCCTGTTCTCATTATCCATCTATGGGGACGATGTCATACCAAAACCTGGAGGTTCCCCTGGCATGATGGAATTTTCCCAAACTGTTGCACTTGATGAAAATGTAATTGTCACTGCGTAAAGGGCAAGCAATTCATCATCCCTATCAGAACCTGAAACTGGCAAATGTAACTAACCCCCACGCATCGTTAAATGGCTCTGAGTCAAATCTAAAAATGCCCGACCAGATGAGTGTAGGTAGTCTGGAATGCACGCCAAGTACCTTATGAGAATTTGCAATGCCTTTTAGAATCCATCACACGATAGCTTTTCTTGTGTATAGCCAATTCCCTCAATTGTAGGTTCTGTTGGATTTTCTTGCTCCGAGGGGAGCAGAGCTGACGTCCTGTATGTATATATAAATGTCCATGCAGCCCGAGGCATGACGGCACGGCACGAAGCCTGCTTTTTTAGCCCGGCCCGGCCCGGCCCGGTGACGTGCGGGCCTGGACTGGCCCGGCCCGAAGGAGCAGGCCGTGCCTGGGCCGCTGCTCAGGCCCGTGGGCTGGCACGGCACGGCCCGGCCTGAGTCGGTTGGCCCGGCCTCCCCCCTCCCCCCCCCCACTCATCCTCCCCTCCCCAAGGCCTAGCGTGGCCGGCCCACCGTCCCCGCCTCCCCCCTCCTCATATATAAGCGCACTCCCTCGCGTCACGCCTCGCGACGGCCGTCCGGCCCCCTCCCCTTCCCTCGCGGACGCCCCCTCTCTTCCCTCGCGTCGCGCCTCGCAACGACCGCCCCTCCCCTTCCCCGAGGAACGCCGTCGCCGTCGAGAGCCTCGCCGCTCCTCGTCTCCTCGAGCCGTCGTGAGGTCTTCCCCGAGCCGACGCCGTCGTCGTTCATCTTCCTCCGTGCTGACTCGTGTCGCCGCCTCCTCTTCCTCCTTCCTTGCCCCACCGTCGAGTCGAAGCACCACAGACGTGGCCTCCTCCCTCGATGCCGGCGACTGGCCGCGCCGCCTCCTCCTCCCCTCCCCGTCCTCCATCTCTCCTTCCCCGTGCGGATCCCTCTCCCTCCCTCCCTCAGCTCAGATCCGGTGGCCTCCCTCTCTCCCTCATCCTCGTTGCACGGCGGGCTCCCTCCCACCCTCTCCTCTCGACGGCGCGGCTCCTTGCCGCGCCTCCTCCGCTCAGATCCGACGCAGGTACGACGACCTCCCTCCCTGCCCCGAGATCCGGAGCTCCGCCTCTCCCGGCCACAGCGGCTACCTCCTCCTCTCGCCTCCCCCACGCGCCATGGCATGCGCTGCCCTGCCTCGAGCACGCCGCACCCTCCTCCTCCCCAAGGCCCCCAGCGGTGGGCGGCCTCGAGCCCCGCCGCCGTTCCTCCACGCCCCCTGCGTCCCGTGACCCAGCCCTCCTCCTCTCCTCCTCTCTCTCGTGTCGGCACTCGGTGGGCCTCGGGCTGGCACGGCTTGTGAAAATGGCTGTGCTTCTCGGGCGGGCAGTCTGTCTCGGTCCATAGGGTCGCGTTTGGGCGAAGGCCAGCTGGTGGCTGCCATGAGGCACGGCCCGGGAGGCATGGCGTGCCATGCCGCCCGCTATTATCGGGCTGTGCTGGCATGGGGCCGTGCCGTGCCGTGCCGAAAATGGCCCGTTGGGCATCTTTGTATGTATATATACGTAGAATGGAACCAGATAGTCTGCTCTGGACACTGAAATTAATTAGGCATTGCGAGGGCCCACGATTGCTTCACAGTCAGAGGTACAACCCTTTCAAGATGAATGCAATAAGATGCCAGATCAGGCATGCTCTTAAGATCTTAAGATCAACGGTGCATGTTCGTGCATGATTGTGGCTGTAGGATGATGACGCTGTGTGGTGTTTTTCTATGTCTTGGTGCTTCTGCTGTTCTGCACCAAGTCTTGCTTGTGTATACAGTGACTACTAGAAACCCCGGAGGACTTATTTGGATGCGCTTGCACTCAAATCAATCAAGTGGGTTGGAGTAAAAATTAGCTTTTTTTTACTTTATTTAATCCGCACGGATACACGTGGACTGAGGTAAAAAAAAAAGGTCAGATACGCACCCTGTGTCTCCCCGTCCTGTCCTGTGCAGTTTTGACCACAGTCCACAGCAAGAGAACTCCGACTTCTTCACTTCAATTCAGACACCGTCTCTCTCTCTCTCTCGCTCGCTCGCTCACACGCACACACTCTGACACACACATGGCGTTGATGAGCCTTGGCGCCGCCGTGTACTCCTACTTCTCCACGCCCACCGCGCGGCCGCGTCCCCGAAGATGTATCCTGCCGTTTCGCGCCGCCGCCTCCCCTGCGGCGCTGGACCGCCGGCGACGGCCGCAGAACGTGGCCGGCGATTTCTTCGTCGGTGAGCAGAGCAAGATACAGCTTCTCTTTCTTTTCCTCCAACAACAAGAGCTTTGCCTGACTGCCGCGCGGTGTTTGCCTTTTCACGGTTTCATCCCCTCGGCGGCGCCGCGCAGACCACCGTTGCATCGACTGCCAGACCTGCCGATGGATGGCGCCGGTAAGCAGCTTCCTCCCATCCCATCCTTGTATCGCATCCTTCAGCTTCAGTCGCTTGGCTATGGCTAACACTACCATCGCATGCCGGCATGCAGGAGGTGTTCAAGAGGGTGGATGGCAAGGCCGCCGTAGCTGCGCAGCCTAACTCCGAGGAGGAGAGGACCAAGGCCCTGCAGGTGTGCCTGTGTGTGTGTGTGTGTGCGCGCGCGCGCGCGCGCGCGCTCCCCCCATATATCCTAGCTGCCTTTATGTAGCTTGTGTACTGCTGCAGCTGGGCCAACTCTGAATGCGTTCTTCTTCTTCTTTTGTTGTTGTTGTTATTAAACTCTGAATGCTTTGTGATAGCAGCTGCAACACCACTATCTTTCACAGAGTTAAATTTTTTGTGTCATTTCCAGGCGCTGCTCTCCTGTCCAACATCCTCAATTCACACTGAAAAACCTCCAAAAGACATGCTTAAAGTGCAAAACATGTTTCCTCTTCCAATCGACGACAATCTACTCCCAGTATGCATTCTTTCACTGTCTCCTTTTCCTTATGGCCTTTCTCAGTCCGTGTATATGTATAGCTATGGTTGAAATCTTGTTCCTTTTTGTCTATATATGTATTATATAAGAATCTAAGATGTAGTTACAGTTCTGCCAATATTTATGAAATCTTCATTCTGGTATACTATGCAATCACATCACCAACATTTAATGTTCAGGGCATTTATCTCTGTGGGTACAATTCTGAAGACTCGTATGGGGCAACATCGTACCTGGTAATTCATCCACAAGGAAACATACTGATTGACAGGTAATAGATGGGTCTCCAGCCAGTAGCTAGGAATCCAAATCAAATAGTTTCCCAATGTAAGGTTGATGCTACTATATCCATCAGTAAAAGTAATTTCATAATAATATATAACTCTTTCTATTTGAAATAATACGTTTTGTACAAATTGGTAATCAAAGGTTCACCTTGTATACCATGCCATTGCCTAAAAGACCGCTGTGATGATCTGAGTAGACTATAAAGAAAAGAAGAAAGTTGCACAAGTCTTTTATTAGACTCAAAAAGGGCTATGTTCCTGGTAGAGTTCACCTTGGGCACAAAGTTTTATGCTTTTAATTTCCCTTGATGATTATGTACTTCAGAAGCAGAATTCTGTGATACAGTCATACAGATGCTTTAATATATATCTTTTATTTTTCTTTTAGCCCAAGGTATACTCCAAAGCTGGCCAACAATATTGAAAAGCTTGGTGGAGCGCTGCTACATGTTTTTGACCCACATGTATGCTTGGACCTCAACCATACACAATTGTGTTCTTTCTTCATGTAGTTGTCATCTTCTATTGGAAACTCAAGGGATCTCACTAATTACCACTGTACAGTGATGATGTGGCGGATCACAGGAAGTGGACTGAGCAGCTAAAATGTAAAAGAATAATTCATTCAGGAGATGTAAGAACTGCATCTCTCGCTATATCCTTCTATTTGACATGATAGAATAGCAAAATTCCTGATAAATTTTAATTGCAAACCCCATGTACGTTATTCGTATCCATTTTGGGACTCTGCTCTCATATATATTGATTAGCAAGGCCTCATCCTGAAGAGTGACAAAAGCACATGCTGCCTACGTATTATGCTTCTACTTCAATACATCTGCTTCTACTTTAATTAATACATGATAAGCATTGCAGTTTGGGCACTATTAAAGCATTCAATATTCATATATCTTATTGAAGAACTGATTAGTGGTCTAGATAATCCATAGTGCTTCAAATGGAGGAAATTTCCCAAAAGAAATAAAGTTACAACATTGGAATAGTTAGCAAGCATTCATCGCATTGATAATGTAGGTTCCATTTGTTCCTGCCTCCCAGTGAACTCTGCTCTTTCAAACATGTCCACCGCAGTAACCATTCTGATGCAGGTGGAGGAGACTACTGCAGATGTTGAGTGGAAACTTGAAGGAAATGGGCCATGGAACATAGGAACAGATTTTGAACTTATCCATACGCCAGGCCATACCCCAGTAAGAAATTCAACTTAATAGACTTGAATCTAAACGCAATCAGTAACAATCCATTTTTAGCGACACAGATTTAGCACCTTGCTCATTACCTCCATTGCATCTAGTTTGATAATCAAGTCAAACATTTTTCTAGGGTTCGGTCTGCTTGTATTGCAAACCGCTAAAGGTGCTGTTCACTGGAGACCATGTTGCAAACTCAGAAGAATCAGACGACCTGAATCTCTTTCTGATGTACAGCAAGCAGTCAGGTAGAAGTGTTGATCCCTTCGTGCTAGTTTTCATATCTAACCAGTGATACCGATGAATGTGTTATACCATTAGCTTGGAAATCTGATTATTAATATTATGTCTGTGTGTTGTACAACAAACTTGCAGTGAGCCTTCAGCTGGAAAGCATCAGGAAACTATTGGAGGTAGAGTTCGAGTGGCTTTTACCTGGTACGCAGCACTCCAAATATATCCCTGAGATGGAATATAAGTTAGCAAATTTCAATTGGATTTGTAACCCATTTCTACTTCATAATACTTTTATCTATTCTATGTTGTTTATCCATTTGTTTTTTTTTATTAAATTGTGTACTGGAATTGACTTGTTCACAGGGCATGGCTATCGAATCAAGTACAAAGATGTGCAGGCCAAGAATGCAGCCATAGAGTCCCTCCTAGCAAACTACACAAGCTAGGAGCCTAGGAGCATCTTACTTCAGTCAGAAATCAGATAAGGATTCCAGGAGGCTGAATGTTGATGCCATGTTTCCAGATAATAGTGTGCATGATGCTCATTTCTTGAATGTGCATTGTTACCAGAGAGGCAGAGAATGCAATGCTTTCGTATGCTTATAAATTATAATACAGTTGCAGACTGTACCTTCTGCGGCACACCAAGCAAATGAATCAAGCATACGTGACTCCGGCCACTGAATGTTTTTCTTAGCTTTTTCCAGAAATTTGTTATAAGATGATATATTCGACAAATACAGCACAATGAAAGCCCCCTACTTCACATCACCTCAGCAGTAGAGCTAGGGAAAAAAAAAAGGAACAAATTGCAGTCAAAACGTGCAATGAGGACTTAATTTCTGCGTATATAAATATGTATTCTTGATGATACCAGTGAACAAAACTGCTCTCTCCCGGAAGTTACAGGCTTACAGCTCCCAACTCAGAATCCAAAGAAAAAAGAATGCCGCTCCAACCTCAATGGTAAAGAGAAAAAAGGCCTCAAAAAGCATAAGCCCCCAAACTCTCAATGTTCACTCTGTAGTGTTACATAAGGTACAAAACTGAACAACATTGGTACAAAACTGCACACCATTGCCCACATAAATCCTCTAAGAAATCAATGCTTCCAAGTATTCGTCGACGTATGCAAGGCATGGCCAATGATCGGTCCTTATCCTGACCAATGTTGAGGCACGGCCTACCTCCATCAGAAACAGGAGGTGATACCCGGGTGGTAGGAATATCATGACCCGCATGATTCCCATATCTCTCTTGCTTTCATGGCCATACCTCTCAGCACCAACCCCAATCTCGTCGTCATCTACGAGCTGAAGCTGGAGATTGTTGTCCGGTGAGTACGGAACCAGTGCATCAGCATCTACACTGGCATCTGGGACATTTTCTTCCCACATGACATTCTTAATGACTCCGTTTCCTCTCAGAATGGTTACAAGTGAACCTCCAGAAACACTGACAACAAAGGAAGCCAGATATCTTTCAACAGCTCCAATCAAAACCTTTGGAGTTACCTCCAAAAGTTTAACAGACCGAGTTCCGTTAATGGCAGCTGACCCTTTCCCTCCACTCAAAGGGAAAGTTTCTCGACCTGTGTTAGTAGAGCTATCACAGGCCTCCCATAAAGCATGAAACAGATCCTGGTAGTACATAGCCACACCCTCTCTTGGAGTATCAGGTGGTACGCTGGCCTTTAGAAACATGTCCTCAATACCAACTGTAATGGGTTTAAGGGACCCTGATAAAACTTGGCAGTTCTCAGTGTTTGCTTCAACTGAAACATCAATAAGGCCAGGTGAAGGCTCTTGAGGTTCCAGTTCTATCATCACTGAAGCACAGTAACTGGATTCTTCCCTGTTCTGATTATCAATGGGGACGATGTCCATACCAGAACCTGGAGGTTCCCCTAGAATGAAAGGAATATGGCATGATGGAATTTTCCCAAAATGTGCACTTGATGAAAATGTAATCGTCACTGCATAAAGGGCAGGCAGCTCATCAGCCCCATCAGAACCTGAAACTGGCAAATCTAACCCCCATGCATCATTAAATGGCTCTGAGTCAAATCTAAAAGTGCACTGTATTCGTATCTTGAAACCAGATGAGTGTAGGTAGTCTGGAACGCACGTGAAATACCTTCTGAGAATCTGCAATGTTGCAGCACCTTTAGAGTCCATCACACGTAAGGTTTCTTGTCTATAGCCAATTCTCTCAATTGTAGGTCCTGTTGGATTTTCTTGCTCTGAGGGAGCAGAGCTGACGTCCTGTATACTTAGAATGGAACCAGATGGTCTGTTCTGGACACTGAAATTAGGCAATGTGAGGGCCCACGATTGCTTCACAATTAGAGGCACAACCCTTTCAAGATGAATGTAAGATGCCAGATCAGGCATGCTCTTAAGATCTTGAGCAGCACGCGGTGATGGGATGTCATACAAGGAACCAGAATGAGAAGGTGTGACACCTGAAGGTTGTTCTCCAACTCCCATGATATGCCTCAGTTTCTTCCCAGGAACACAAGATAACATCCGCAAGCAAATCCTGGATGGATCATTTAAAGTGATGAGAAGACAATCCAATAACAGATAACACAAATCAGGTGATAACTTAAACTCTACCTGGCATGGTCCCGGACCTCCAGATCTGGGAAGGACTCGATAGTAAGCACAAGAAGGTGCGAAAGGGGGAGGAAAATATGAGAGCTGTGATGGTGCTTCAACATGACACGACAAATGCCCACAACTTTGCTTCCCTGAGACCATGACTTCAGCTCTGTGTCTGGTCCATGCTTCTTGGTGAGAGAAACCATCTGCTTGGTGAGCAATTCTATTAGGCGGTGCTGAGGCACCGTCTCATTCTGTGCAATCTTCTCAAAAATAGGGTAGTATGACGCAAGCTGGTAGCCTGGCTCAAGCCTTGGAAGCAGACACTCGTCAAGTGTCCGGAGCAATCGCTCCCCAGCCCACCGATGTGAGTTGCATGCTAGCAGACGGTTGGTGAAATCAGCAATCACTGGGACTAAACCCTGATGCTCTGATGCCATATCAACCAAGATAGCCTGCATACATAGTGACAACAGAAAGACTCGCTAAATTGGTTTGAACCATAATTGAACTTGTTGTCTTGCATGTCTGATGGACGTGCCTATTGTTATCTATCTCAACAAATTTCTACCTGTAAATGGTGGAAGAAAGTAGAATTCAGGAGCTCACCAGCCCCGGAGCAGCGTGTGCCGTCAGTGCTGTGAGGAGCAGCACCAACCAAGACACTGTGCAGCGCTCGGAATGCCACACCCGTTTCAGTACTCCATGCTAGGAGCCACCTGAAGGCGGAGACGCAAACCAAGCCATCGTCAAGTAGCCCAGTTGCTTGGTCACTCGCTCTGTCTGCTGCTGCAACCTTCTCCCCATCAACACCAGCAGCAACAGAAGCTAGACAATCCAGTTTCTTGGCCTTGAGCGCGAGGGGATCGAACACGGCAGGGTAAAACCATCGGGCGAGACCAGGCACCAGATTTCTGAACCTGACAGAGCCGAGTAGCCAATGCAAAGCCAGCAATCGCACTGCAAGTGGACGGTGCACCTCACGGGCAGCCAAAGCCAGGCGGTGTGCCATTGTGCGCTCATCCTCAGCCCCAAAGGCATCTGGGAACTGGACGAAGAGCGTGAGCAGCGAGTGTAGCAGCATGGGGCTGGACGAATGCACCATCCCCCCGAACTGCACCTTGATGTGCGCTGCAATCGCTGGCGCCCACTGGAGCACAGCCGACGCGACCTCGGCGAGGATGGCCATCATCTCCATGGCCGCTGCGGGCGTGAGCACCTGCGGCCCGTCCATGAGCAGAGCGAGCACCTTCCGTATGTCCCTGACGTTCACCTCCGAGGGCGGCGCCAGGGGCGGCGAGAGGCGAGAGCAGGTGAGCGGGCACGGTGAAGGGGGTGGGCGGGCCGGCTACCGCCAGGATGGAGGCGCCGGAGGCGAGCCTCCCGAGGCGCACGGCGTGGCGCGCGGCGGAGGCGAGCAGGAGGAGGTAGGACTGCGCGGCCGGGGAGCGTTCCGCGGCGGCGAGCGCGTAGAGGTGCCCGAGGGCCTCGGCGAGGAGACCCGGTAGCGCGGCGTCGAGGGCTCGCAGAGCGTCGCAGGCGAGCGCGCGGGCGGCGCGGTCGGGCGCGTGGTTGGGGCGGTTGGCGGCGGCGAGGAGTGCGTCGACGAGGGCGGCGAGGTGCGGGGCCTCGTGGTCCCTGGAGACGGGCGCGGAGAGGGCGGAGGCGAAGGCGGAGACGACGGTGACGAGGAGGTGGTCACGGCGCGGGTGGTCCAGCGGGAAGGAGAGAGAGGGAGGCGAGGAGGGCGGGGAGCTGCTCGGGGAGGGCGGGAGCAGGTGGTCGTCGACTAGGGAGAGGAGGAGGGGCTTGAGGTGGAGGGGAGGTCGCGGCGGAGCAGCGAGGAGACAGCGAGGTCCAGGAGCGGGAGGTGGAGCCATCGGTCGCGGCGAGAGGGGTTCGAGGAGGAAGCGAAATCGTCGAAGAGCTGCTCCCACTCCTGCGGCGAGAGCAAGGCGGTGGGCGGCTGCCGGTCCATCGCCGGCGACGGACACGTGAGATTGTGATGCGGCGGAATATGGGGAATGGAATGGCCGAACGGGGAGGAGTTGGCTGGTGGTGGCAACCCACCCCGCTGGGTTGTTGTTAATTGGGCCTCTCTTTTTCGTGGGCTAACTTCTATGAAACTACTTACTAGTACTAAATTAGGCCTAGAAAGAAAGGAAATGCCCAAATAACTAATACCGGCTAGGATTTACGTACGTGTGTTTATAGGGATCAGTGTGCGTGCGTGTTATAGGCGTCTATGTTGTACCATGTGATTCTAAAAAAAAATGTGTTGGAGCACCACTTTTTTTTTAAAAAAAATGTGATATTGTTCACGTAGTTCGTTTTCGGTTTTCGTTACACTATTGTGCCTTTTACGAAGATATCTGTAAAACTACATTCATAATACACATATCTAGATAAAAAAAAGTATATTTGACCCTTATAAGTATTGATAGTTGTCTATTTCACCTCCTCAACTATGGAAAAAACCATCTAAATAACACCTCTTAAACTACTAGAAACCATATACATAACTCCTGAGGCGGTTTTGAAGGTGTTTTCGAAAGCGGTTTCATTGACATGGCATATTATATGAGTGTTGACATGGCAGTGAGTCAGCAAATAGTAGAAAAAAGTCCCCCTTAACATATCAAGGGTTGACTATATAACGCATCAACTATAAAATTTAATATTATAATTATTAGAGCATCTAATATTGTTTAAATGGCTTAGATGGTTTTGTAGAGCCGTTTTGACATTGTATCTCGCTACACTGGCCTGATTACCTGTGCTTGCACAGAGACCCATCTGTTGCCTCCCTCTACTTGCTCTTTATAGTTTGCCCCACTGTCTGACGAGTAGTACATGGCCTATTATCTCCTTTGTCTCCTACTCCACCTCCCGGCACTCCTTAATGGCATTGAGCTCACACACTGCACTTGTGCCCTTATCATCTAGGCCTCCCACATCCTTCATCCTTCTTGTATTCTTCTCTCTTGTCCCATGTCTCCATTCTCTCTTCCCTCCGCTCTTCTTCTCAGACTAGGTGTAGAGGTGGCGCACCTCCTCAATGCTTTGGTGGCGACTGCGGTGGAGGCCGAGAGATGCAAATAGGAGAAAAAGGTGAAGAAGGTGATCGTTAGGGTGGGTCCCAACCTATCACGGGATGCAACTCCTCACGAGAGCTATTTGGGACTAGCCAGAAAAGTGGTCTATCTCCCCGATACGATAGTTTTACGAGAATGAGCGTGAAATTTTTGCATTTTGGTCCCTTTTTAAAACATTTTTTAACAAAAAGACCCCTGCCAAAACTTTTGCTACAAATAAACCATTTTTAAGTGTCTTAGGAAATCACGCCGAGGTATGAAGGTCGGCGTCGACTGACACAACGCCGAGTCCTTGCCACGTCACCGACGACTCTAGGGCTGGCGCATGGGGCCCAGTACGTCAGCGTCGTGTCAGCCAACGCCACAGGCCTAAATTCGGCGTTGTGGGGAGTCACGCCGAGCTCTTGGCACCATCCGATGCGTGGCCCAGGTGGCCCAACAACGCTTCGTGGGCCAAGAGGTCGGCGTGCGATCAGATGACGCCGAGACGCTAACCTCGACGCGGCCCGACTCAACGCCGAGGTTCGGTCAGTTGAGGCCGCGCCGCGGCCCCCTTCTTCCTCCTCCCTCCATTCAGAACCAACAGGTGGCCATTTCCCACTCCCTCTCTCTTCCCACGAACCCTAAATCCTAAATCCAGCTCTTGGGAGGCCAGATCGAGGGTTTTGATGTTTTGCCAAGGTACTCCTCTTTCCCCTCTTTCATTTCATCCATTTAGTTTTGGTTGTTTGTGTTTTTTTTAACTTGGCATTATAGGTTTGGTTCATGTTCATGTCATTCGTGCAATGTATGGTGGTTCAAATGATTGAATGACCCAAATGTATGGTGGTTGTTGTTGTATATGTTCTGGTTTATAATCATTGAGTTAAATTTTGTGTTTGTTGGGATTCAAATTTGCTTAGGGTTTGTAATGAAAAGCTTATTTGGGAGGTATGGTGATTTAGTGCTAGTAGCTTTACATTCGTTGCAAGGTACTTTGGATTGATTTTTTTTCTACGTGATGTTAGGATGCCAAGGCGTGGTAAAGCTCGTATTTCAAGGTAATCCCAATGTTTATTCATTATTTGTGCAACAAATAGAAAACCCTAGGTTTAGGTTTGGTTCTCCGTTAATATGACTAAATTCTTTCAATTGTAGCTATGGTCGCCAGAGGGCAAATCCCTACGACCTAAAGCCTTTCCCTGAAAGTGTTCCTCGACCCATGTGCTTTTGTGGTGATCCTTGCAAGGTAGACATCTCTTAAGATGAGGAAACATATAGACAGAGGTACTGGATGTGTCCCAATTATGCATGGGAACCTACAAAGCAACAGCGCCGTGCATCGATTGTGAGGAATTTTTATTGTGTGTTAATTAATTTTCTTGTGATATTAAGTATTGCTTATTTATTTGTTTTGTAACAATTTGTTTTTCTTGCAGACCGTTCCACCACTGTGTGACTTTGAGCAGTGGATTGACACTGAGATCAAGGAGTCAGACAAGTAGCATCTAGAAGGCCTGAAGGAGTGGGATGCGGAGGTTAAGGAGAGGTTTGAGCAGAGACGCAGACAGGAGGCTATAGAAAAGGAGCATAAGGAAGAGGAGGAAAGGAGGCGTGTTGCTGCGTACAGGGCGGAGAGGGAGAAGAAGCTTGAGCGTGTGCGCAGAGCGAAGACAGCGATGGAGGAGAATCCCGATGCCCAGAGGAAGGGAAAGTGGCCTCGTTGCACTCAGTAGGTATTTGGTTTATTCATGAGCGATGTCGTGTAGCCCTGGACTTTTTTTACTATGTTGTAATGCACTCTGCTTTTATTTCAGATGAACTTATTCCCTGGACTTTTTTTATTATGTTGTAATGCACTATGCTTTTATTTCAGGTGGTCTTATGCCCTGTACTTTGTTAACTATCCTAGACTGTAGTGCTACTGTTTGTATCACTAAAAAGGCTACTTGTACTGTTGCAGTCACTGAAAGAGCTACAAGTACTGTTGCAGTCAATGAAAAGTCTATTTGAAACTCACTGAAAAGCCTAGATTCGTTTACTGTTGTATCCATATACGCAATGAATTAATATCAAAGTGATGTACTGCATGTAGATGAAGTGACAAAACACAGGTGTAGCCTTTTCAGATGAAATGACCAGTCATGGTTGTAGGCTTTTTAGATGAAGCATCTAGCCTTTGCAGATTCAATAAATGAGTACGCACACAAGTTTTTTATCAAGTAGCATTCATGGTGAACTTGCATTCATCTCTATATATAGTGCTCCATATCTTGCTCCACATCCACACAACTTGTTTTCTGGTTTAGTTTTAGCAAATGTCGAGCGGAGGTTTCTCGAGTGGAAAGGGTTTCAGCGGAGGGAGAGGAAAGGGGGTGAGGAAGGGACCTCCGATTGTGTGGGAGGGTTCTCTGGGTCCTGATTCTTTTGAAGAACCAATAGAGGAATTTCCTTTGGAGAGGAAGAGTGACTTCACCCGTGAGAGACCTCTTAGATCATACGACAAGCGCATTGAAGATTGGCCAAAATGCCACCACGGTTTGGATTGCGTTGTGCAGATATACAACGACTGTGACGGTGGAGGTCGTCGTTTCTTTAGATGCCCACGAGGATTTGTATTTTCTTTGAACTCTCTCCTTTTTTAGATTTGCATTTGGTTTGTAGTAGTACTTAATGGTAGATGGGTTTTCAGGATTCAAGCTGTCCAGATAATTGTGGCTTCACTAGATGGGTCGACCCTCCTCCTATATATCCCCATCAACAGTACATCACATATCTACAGAGACGCATCTTTGACCTAGAGTATGGCCCTGGAAGTGGTAACAGGGACAAGTCGGACGACGACAACAGCAATGATGCAGAGGAGGCACTATGCAATAATCCGTACTGCCAGTGCCCGTACCATAAGAAGCACAGGCCTCCTTCTCCACCGCCACCGCCACCGCCACCGTCAACTAGAGGATACTATGGGGAAGGCGCAACTCAGTTCAATATGTGGGAGCATTATTAGAACCAACCTTTGTTAGTCAATCTGAATGTGGAATGCTTGTATGAGTTGTTCTTTTCAATCTCCTAAGGCATGCTAGGTTTAGTTTGCAACATGTCATTGTTAGTTTTCATGTGAGTGTGTAATCGTAGTACCTTTGCAACGTCTGTATCACTTGTTTCTTTTAATCCCCTAAGGCATGCTAGGTTTAGTTTGCGACATGCCATTGTTAGTTTTGATGTGAGTGTAATCGTTGTGCATTCGCTATTTCATAAATTGCAGTTTACCTATCTCTAAGTTTCATGTACTATGGTTGATTCCCAAACTGAAAAAAGATTTGACTCTCTCCAAAAATAGGGGATTGAAATCGAACCAACCTTCAGTTTTTCCTGCAGGAACAAACATAAATATAGCATGTCTACTCTTATTAGTATAACTCGTGTTAGTAGAAGAGGAATCATTGAGAAAGATTTTTCATTTGAATCATGCAAATAGGATTTCAACCTATACCAAAGGTTTAGAAGACCTCTGTCTTTAATACTTTATTCTTTCTTTTTTATGATTTATAGGCTCGGCGTCAAGTCGGACGGCGCCGAGGTAGAAGACCATGGCGTTGATTCGGCCCACGCCAACCCTAGGGTTTGGCTCGGCCATTCACGCAGAGATTAATGGCTCGGCATCAATTTACGGAACGCCGAGCTTGGGCACCTCGTCGCTTTGAGGCAAAGGATTCCAGTATGCACCAGGGGTTGGCGTCAACTGGAGTGTACCTGTCCACTGGTCTGAGCGTCCTCTATGGACGTCCAGAACCAGAGGGGCC